CCCCATGATAGCTCCAACCGCGTTGAGCTGATTAAATCCGCCTACGTCCATTCTCATCCCTTCTCGCAACGCACAACCACCACTACATCATGCCAGACAAAGCCCTCGCGTACCAGGTCGGGCAGGTCCAGGGCCAAGGCCAACTGTACAGTACCAATGCATCAAGAACCACGACAATGCCAGCGCCAACCGAACTCCGCGAAGTCGGCGGCGGCAACGCTCCTTCCACCAAGCCACCCGCTAACACGGACATGGCATACACCTCCCCGCCGCCCATGCGCGTAGTCGGCAATGCGGGTCTTGTGAGGCCGACGGATGGGTTGGGGTTTGAGCCCGACTTCGTCGACTGCCCCAACTGTCGGGAGCGGAGGGAGACAATCGTCAACCGCGTTGCCAGCGAAACAACTCGGTACGTATCTAATCACACTTACTCCTGGAGATTGATCTTCGTGTCTCATGTGGATGTTCGCTGATGATGGGTTGTCGTTGATGACGACTAGGCAGCTAAGGTTTTCGTATGCGATGCGCAGCGCCCTGCTGCTTGGTATATGCGGTCTGATACCGGACTGTATGAAGATGGGGTATGATACCGAGCATCGGTGTAGTGGGTGTAGGTGGAAATTGGCGGTCCTACAGCATGACCAGAGGCCGGGAAATGCGGCGTATGTGCCGTCGCAATATACGGCGGAAGCATGAATCGACATGGAGAGGCCCTGAAAAAAGTGGTTGGAAGATAAGACGGACCTTTTAGTTCTTGAAGCAACATGTGGACTACAAAAGATCATGAAAGGTCAGCGCGCCCCATGAACTGTGTCGTAGTTCCGGTGGCACGTTTGAGCTAGGTATGTTGATTGGCGTTCGTATCCAGGCAAATGTTGCCTGCAGAGCTCAGCAGTCGGATGCCTTCCATCCCAACAAAGCACAGCTCAGTATTCATGCTATCCTGCTGAAAGAGAGATCGTCCGGGGGCTTAACATAAATCCCCCTCAACTGCCCTCTCCCCGAGGCCACCACTCTAACCAACTCCTCAGGCCTCGCTCTCCAAAACTGCTGCGTCTCCTCATTAATACATTTAAGAAAAATACCCAAATAGTGACCCGGCCCATGCTTACACTCTATACTCGCCACATACAGTCCCTCATGCCCATACCGCTGGAGATAGAGATCAATGTAGATTCCCTTGTTCGTTACCGCAAAGGGGCGGTTGTTCTCCCGACTAGGCGCGTGCTTGAATTCTCTGGTGCTGGCGAAGTAATCGGGTGAGGCTGCCAACAACCCTGAGCCCGATGATAATTGGCTCTTCCACGCGAACAATGAATGATCATCACTATACCGCATAATCTCCTCCTGCAACCTTCGAAACGCCCTCTCCGCCCCCTCTCCATATAGCAGCGGCATGTTGACGCCAAAAAAGACCGAGCAGACAATACGCAATATCCTCCTCAACAGTCACTGTCCTTCCCGCGGCCCACGACATCCGGCAGCTCACACTCGCCCATCCCACGTTCTTGCTCCCGAGCAGGAAATCCGCCGGGATGCTCGTCCGTGCCGTGAGGTCGGATTGCAAAGTATCTCTATCGCCAATCCGGTTCCAGGATGCGTCGAAGAAGAGGACGGACTTGGGGGCGATGAGTTCCTGCAGTGTCCAGCCTCTCGTAAACCATTTGGAGTGCGTGAAGTCGCTGACGGAAGGGGAGGGATAATCCGCTAAATACACGAAACAGACCTCCGCATACTTATACCACTTGTACATTGTATTTATCGCTGTCGACAGTTCTGTTAGGTCCCTCTTATCAATACATATTGTGTCAAGCCAGAGGTGCTTGACTCTGCCGTTGTAGAGACGGACGAGGGTATTACATGAGTTAAGGATTTTTGCGGCACTGATGCGTTTGGGGTGAGAAGGGTTGGTGAATGTGGAGAGCGGGACGGATGGGTCGATAATGTCGGTGTGGATAATTTCGGGGAAGAGCCAGACATGGGAGATAATGGCGTAAGAGGGTGGATCGAGGTAAGAGGCGACGGAGTGAGTGGTTGCGTCTAGTAGGCGTATCATGGTCGATTCGTGGGCTTGAGCCCTTATACGCCTAGATATAAAGTAGGTTCGCAACCGAACTTTCTCTGCGTGATTGTACTTTGGTGGAGGGCTTGACCTTTACCTGAGAATCATTGCGGGCGACGCACCAAGCGGCTGTAGCCTGCACATAAGGCTGCTGATAGTGATAACGACTAGCACAAGCCTGTACTGATCACTCTGGTAGGGTACTTAGGGTACGGTATCTTCCCGGCTAAAGCGGGCAGCCCTGGGAGAGCTCCGACTGAGCTTAGGGGCAGATTGGGGTGTCGATTAGAATGGCAGACGCTACTGCGGGACTACTGCAAGCCACTTACGCAGTTATCTCCACTAACCCCTATATAGAATAGAAGATAAATAATAAAGACGCGCTTATACCTCGCTCCTATACTTTTATCTTATATTTCTTTCATGTCATCGTCACTTTCTACCACCTTCTATCATTATCGACTCCCTCTTCACCCTCCACAGCCCAAATTACCTAGCACATAGCCGGGATCATATCGCGCCTCCTCAACAACCCCCCAAATATCAAGACAATTTCCGACGCCCGTCCAAGCCCTCCTTACGAATAAGATCACCGCGGTAGGTGATCTTATTATAACCTCGAACGAGTTAAAAGAGCTAAACGACGAGATCTACTGCGATTACGAGTTCTTTCGTAAATACCAGCTACCGTATCGCGATATTTGGGCTCAACATCAGCTCTTTAAGACACTAAAAGAGAAGGATTTTAACCGCTAGGCGTTTATATAGAAAAACTCGAGCTTTAAGCTCTATAAGGATATTATCTCGAAATATTACGAGAGGAATATCGACGGTGAGATTGAGGCGCCGGCGAGGCGTCGACTTAATATAAGCGGACTTTCAGAAGGAGATACAGGCCAAGCATAGGGTGGTGGAAGAGGTAAAGAATCCTCTAAGAGGGGGTCTTTACGACTATAAATATAGGAACGACGGTAACGACGTTAATTAATAAATTATACAGCCTCAAATGTACCTAATTGAGTGACAGCGAATTGCCAGAAGATCAGACAATTATCGACACGATGTTTGCCTAAGTTGCACGCGTCTCTATTATTTACCTCCTATTCTATATAAGGAATAATAAAGAAGACTACGCGTGTGGCTTGCAGTAGCCTGCAGTAGCGTCTGCCATTCTAATCGGGACCCAGATTTGATGTCTTCTTCTCCTGCCAACAGTGCCAAGAGAATGCGCGTTTGACGCGCTTCTTCGTCCGGACGACTATAATTAAAGTAGTTGCTCTCTTTGCAGCTTTACTCCCGTTGTCGGCGAAGCTGATCTGTTTCATTTTTGTTTCATTTGTTGCTCTTGCTTCTTCTGCTTGTTGCTCACGCGCGATCGAAGAGTGCTGTAGGGCTTACTGTAGGGCGTCTAGCTTCGAGTGACTGAGGACAGAATGACGAGGAAGCAACCAAGGTGAACAGACAAGTAGAGCGTAATTGCGGCTTGTCTTTCACTCTCCCCGCCCGGAGAATGCACCCAGAAGTTTGCAATCACACTTAAAGCACGCCTCATAATGGCTTTCGGAGAAGTCATCGATCTCCTCAGCTCTGAAGACGAGGCGCCGTTGCGCGCTCCAAGCCTTACAAAACCGATCGCAAAGACCATCGCGGCCAAGGACGACTTCTTCTATCTATCTGACGACTTCGACACCACCGCGCACCTCAATGATGGCTGGGCAGAGAGTGCGTCTAAGAGAAGGAAATTAAGTCCACCGCTTGCCGACGAAGATAACGTCCAACCACTTTCGAAGCTACCCAAATCAAGAATGCCAATAATAACAACTCAGAGCGGTTTTAAGAGCAAAGTACAGGACGAGTACGGTTGGAAGGGGATCGAGGGATCTGATCCTATTATTTTCACATCCTCAGCCCACGCCGAGACAACGGCTTCTCGTGCAAAAAGGACGGCAATCGACGCCTTGTCAGCGCATGGCGGCGACGATTCGGATGACAGTCTCCCGGACGACATACTCTCCGCTTCTCTGCGCGCCACCAATGCTGCTTCAGCACTCTCTGAACGGACTACAGCGTTGCTTGCGACCCTATCCCAGTCTCCTCCACGCCGGAAGCCTTCCAATATCCGCAAGCCTTTGGGTGATATAGTTGGTAAGGGCAAGGCCCGAGCAAAAAGCTCGGCAGATGACCGGAAATCAACGGGACCAGAGGATGGAAAAGGAACCCAGACGAAGCCCGCTAAAACGTTGAAAAAACCTAAGCTCACAGATGAAGAGAAAGCTGCTAGGGCGCGTGAGAAAGAGAGAGAGAAAGAGACAAAGAAGGAGCAGAAGGAGAAAGAGAAAGAAGAGGACAAGGAGAAGAAGCGGCTCGAGAAGGAGGAGAAAGCGAAAGAAAAGGGTATAGCGGCAGACCTTGCCGAAGTCAACAAGTCAAAGCTGGACAAGAAAGACTCGACACCGGAGATGATCGTGAATCTACCGGCATCGATAGACGGCCAGAGTGTAGACATCCAGATTCGACAGTTTCTCAAGAACCTCGGTGTAGATGCGACTTTGTACCAGAGCCCGATACCCAATGTGATTAGATGGAGGCGAAAATTGAAAGCGAGATGGAACCCTGAGTTGGAATACTGGGAGCCATTGGGGCATATGCAGATCGAGAATGAGAAGCACGTCATGTGTATAATGTCTGCAAAAGAGTTTGTGGCATTGGCTATGGTGCAACACGAAGAACAAGATGTCGAGACGCACGTTGCGAAGTTGAAGAGCGCCTATGACGATTGCATACCAATCTACCTGATCGAGGGCCTACAGATCTGGATGCGGAAGAATCGCACGGCAGAGAATCGAGCATACCAAGCAAAAGTTCTCAGCCAGGCTCAAGCCGCCGAGGCTCCCGCAGGAAATCACTCCAAACGCAAGAAAGCCCCAGTGGAGATTGTGGACGAGGACACGATCGAGGACGCTCTTTTACGACTGCAGGTCATGAACGGGTGCTTGGTGCATCATACGATGACTTCCCTCGAGACGGCAGAGTGGGTTGCGAATTTCACGCAACATATCTCTACCATACCCTACCGGCATGTCCTCCCTCCCTCCCTCCTTCCCATTCCCCCTTCCTCATCTCCCCAAGCAACCCTCACTGACACCCACCAAACAGAAGCCAAAGAATGAACCTCGAAACCTCCTTCTGCATGGAATCCGGCCAGGTCAAAACCGGCGAGGACAAAGACGACACTTTCGTCAAGATGCTCCAGGAAGTCGTCCGCGTCACGCCCCCCATCGCTTACGGCATCGCGTCCGAGTATCCAAGCGTGCTCGCCCTGGTCAAGGCGTTTCGGAAACACGGTCCCCTCGTGCTGGAGGACTTGCAGGCAAGTCTTTTTTCCATTCACTCCTTTGAACACCGACGGGCCTCGATGTGTCGTGGAAGGCTGACCGAGATGATGCCGCCGAATAGAAATCAGCGAATCGGAACGGCGCCCTCACTGACCGCAAAATCGGCCCCGCGATCAGCAAGAGGCTGTACAAGGTCTTCACGGAGACGGATCCGGCGTCCACGGATGTTTGACTCTGCCCGATCTCAGTCGGTCGCTTTGCCGGAGTTTGCCCAGGTCTTATGCTACCCTGGGTTTTTTACCCAGCGAGAATCTTTCGATGGGGCTTGTGTACTTTTGAAGAGGCCTATATCTCTATGTTGTTGCATAGTTCCTTTCTTATACACAGATACTTTGCGAGCATAGGATATACAGCATATAAACGCAGCTGCATTTGAAAAGGAATGAAACGCATTAGTGCGCGTGTGAAGCTAGCAGTGTCGGGATTGTATTCCAAGCAAACCTTCCACCGGTCCAGAGTAGCGGATTCGAGCTTGTTTGGAATGACGGCACAGTCACGTATGAGAGAGTCGCACGCACCAGTGCTGTAAGAATCTTGTGTGGAAATACCCGGCAGTGAGTTCGAATACTTTTTGATAGCAGCTAAATACAAGAACCTTGCAAAGAGGTATAGACAAGACAGAGGCTAGAAAACACAGATTGGCAGTCGGATGTACTCATATCGAAAACAAACTCCTAGGCAAGCATTCAGATCTCCATGGAATCGAACAGTAGAAGATACGACAAAGAACGCCATGATATCCCGGTTATCTCAAACATTCATAGTTCACGCAGGCACTATCCTAGCGGTCACAGGTCTCAAGTCGCTCACTCTCTTCTTGGTGGTTTCATTCTGTCCAACATCTGCGCCACTGTCAGTCATCAGCATCGAGGATCTTGACTCCGTAATTCTTTTCTTGTAAATATGGTTGCATGCTATCCCTTCCCGGCCCAGTTTGTGCGGTACTGTTGCTGTATCCGCTCATACTTGTGCTACTCCTGGGCTCATGGCCACCAATGAGATCGGGTGTTGGAGGGATGCTGGAGGTTCGGCTTCGGCTGCGGCCGTTTTCATTATTTGGGGTTAGAAAACCGGGGGATTCGCCGTGGCCGCTGTCATGGTCCGCGGAGTCGTCGTTGGCGCCAAGTAGGCTGACGTCGGTGTGCATACTTATGTCGCCGTCGGATTGAGTGTGCTTGTGCCCCATGTTGCTGGTGCTGGACTGAGGTTCGGGCTCGATGGGTTCGCCATCTTCATTCTCGGCATTATGCGCGAGGTGGAGACCTTCAACAGCAGCAGCACATTGGTCACTGATATTGCGGATGATGTAGGCAATGGCATCAGTCTTGTCTCGAAGATGACGATCAGCAACGTCAGACATGCTGAGACGGTTCCCACGTGTATTGCTGGTAAGTGGGGAGAAGAAACGGGATTCCATCTCTGGAGTGACTTTCTCGTCGGCGATCTTGGTGCCGTCGTTGGTGCTTGTCCGAGAGACTGAACGGCGGGCCTCATTAAGCAGATTTGGATCCCGTTGGACGGCCTCGCTGCTTGTGACGGATTCGTGGTCTTCCACGTCCTCTGGTATGTCTTCGTAACCTTCTTGGAGGTAGTTGCTGA